CAACATGCTCTGAAGTCAGTTCCAGTCCACGAAAAAATGTTTGTAACAAAATATCGATTTCTGCTGTCCCTGTATCGATACATTATTAGCAAACAAAATATCACGATACTACACAGTATCGATTTTTTTCCCCCACCCCTAATAAATAAGGAATGATTATAACATACCTCGACTCCTACCCTTCTTTCATTTCTCTTTACACAGTGCAGTACTTGTACTTCTGCTTTATCGAAAACATTTAAATCAGTGTTGTTGTTCTTGCCAGTGAGTCACAACACTATGGATATAAGCTAAATTGAATCTCAAAATAAAATCCAATCAGCATTTTGCTGTCTTCCTGTGATTATCTACCCCTGGAGTGCAGAGCGGAGGGCTGCACTGTACGCTGGTGACACTGTAGGCTGCAGCAGCTGAAATGCAGGATGACGCCAGAATGTGGCAGGTGGCAGGATTAATGCACAGCTGGGTTACCGTTTCATGATATTAAGCATGAATATGTCTTTTCACCTCACTTTGATGTGGTTAACTCAATGTCATGTCCATGAAATCCTCCAAAACTGTGTATGAAACACCAAATATGATGTTTATATTGATTTATGCTTTGTGTGCATTCTTCTGAGATCATTTGAGAAGGTTGTACATCTATTAGTGTGATTACTGTAAATGTAAAAATACTGGGGTGACAGTTGTGCATTAAGCTGCAGAGCGACTGCACTGTCCATGCCAGAGGGTGATGTGAGTAGATGAATCGCTGATGGGCGGTCTCATCTCTGTGCATATAGATTTCATAAGGTCCTTTGTATTATTCATAATTGAAAGTAGGAGTTCTAGTGTTAGCTATGATGCTGAGCCAGGGAACACTGCATGTACGCATGTTTTGCATATCTAACTTTATGTCTCACTTGCCTTTTTTGACTTTTATGTTCACATACACATTTAGACTTAATATATGGCAAGAGTTAATTATATTAAGTTTTATAAGTAATTTTCTGTCTAATAATTACTGAAGCTCAAATACCAGACATCCAGGAAACCATCAACTTTGATTGTCATGTAAACTTAGGACTGTTTGTGGTGAGACGTGGAATGAAAGGGTTTCATTCATGTCTTCCAGTCTCTAGTCAGAAGTGGTATTTGGATATAAAGCGTGAGAGATATTGAGCGTGAGAGATATGCATATTTAAGGGGGGAAGGGGGCATTTTTGCATGGCTTCAGTGAAGCAGCTTGATGATGCTCTGGGGACGGTGTGTGAGGATGGACTGACAGGGGGAGGACGCCTGTCTCTGACTGACGCACCCTAGTGGAAAGTTCCTTTTGGTGTCTGCTTCCTTCACTCACTGCCAAAGCCAGCCTGACCCGAACCATTTCATTCCTCTGAGTTGTGACCAGACCAGCTGCCGCAGCTCCCTGTGGAAGGAAGTGGATTTAATTCAGTCAGACTCTGGAAGCTGGTCACCAAGCTGGAATCACCTCTTCTACTTCCTCTTTGTTAAGGAAAGGAAAGCAAAAAACAAAACACAGGAAAATATACTTTCTCTTTTGCCCTCACCCTCTGCCCTCCCTCTCATTTCTCTCTCT